ACTCAAACCAAGGCCGAGGTCTCGACCCAATACCGAGCTCGAGCCAGTATCGAGCTCGCAGACAAGAGCCGTTGCAGCCACACTAGGGGAGAGAATCTTAGCGGGAATCGAGGAGGAGATAATTCATCATGGGTTCTCTACTATATATTTTTTATTATAAATAAAGTAAGATCCATCTACTATAAAGTGGGAAAACCTTGTAAGCACAGGGCAGGTTGACACATTGTAAGGAAAGACTACTTCTCTTATTGAAGAATAAATCTCTTGAGCTAGTTTTACTCAGCATACTCACTCTTCTTGTTCAATAATTTATATCCCGTTTTTATAGCCAAGAATCTAAATATTTTCACTTCTATGTACGATTTATGTCAAGTTATATCACATATCCTTAGAACTACTTATAAATTTAACTATATCTGACTTTCCGGATAAACAGTAACGTGGTTTATAGACAAGTGAATTGATCTGATTTAAAAATGATAAAGAAACATGACAAAAAAGAATAAGATTTAGCGACTGAAATTAAATAAGATAACAAGCCCGGTTCTGAATTCGGCCTTTCCATATAGCAGAAGTGAAAGTAATGATGAAGCGATGATAAAAATGTTAGATTGAAAGCAAAATAGTAAAATATAGATTTTGTGCGCTGAAATTTTCCTGTCTCTACAATGGTAGTTAACTCTGCTATTTATAGTTGCACCTAAGGAGACAAGATCCTATGATCAAGCTCCTCTTAAATGAGAATAAAAGTATCATTGATGAGTATATAACGGCATGCTTTGAATGCAAATATTCTGCGTAACAATTACTTATTGAATGCTAGCAAAGATTCCTTATAATGACTGCTAAATAAATGTTATCCAATGTCGAGCCTTTGAACTTCTACCACTGACTATGTTCCCTTCAGAATCCGTCTAGTATCGGTCACGTACGTTACATCTGGTATTAGTTGTTTCCCGACTCATCTTATGCCTATATTGGTTCACTACTAGAAATTCGGCAAAAATCGACCAAGGTCGACCGAAACCGACCAAAGTTGGTCGGTTTTTCAAAAAAAAAAAATTTAATTTTTTTTTTACGAAACACACCAACTTTGGTCGGTTTCTTTGGCGCAAAAATGCGAAAAACTATTTTTGAGTCCCGCGAAATTTATATTTCAAGAAACCGACCAACTTTGGTCGGTTTTTCAATTAAAATAAATAAAAATTAATATTAAAAAACCGACAAAAATTGGTCGGTTAATTCGGCCGGTCATTTAAAAAAACCAACTTTGGTCGGTAATTTTATTTTTTAATAAAACCGACCAACTTTGGTCGGTTATTTTCGTGCGAAAATATAATTAAAGAGTATAAATCAAATAAAAGACAGTCTTAAAACAAAATGTACCAATGGTCTAGTGGTAGAATAGTATCCTGCCATAGTATAGACCCCGGTTCGATTCCTAGATGGTGAATCTTTTTATTACACAATTAAAATACCGACCAACTTTGGTCGGCTTTTTTTTGCAATATTTTTTTTTTGAATTTAATTGACCGACCAAAGTTGGTCGGTAATTTTCGACCAACTTTGGTCAGTATGCCTTTCCGACCACAAAAATACCGTCCACACGTAAATGGTCGCGTTTTGGTTGGTTTTTGGCCATTACCGACCAACGTTGGTCAGTTTTTTTGGTTAGTTTTTACCGGATTTCTAGTAGTGGTTCCACGTGTCATTTTACCATTCGACCAGCTGTTATCAACCAATTTACCACATACAGATAGTTCACCTACTTTCCGGTGACACAACTTAGTGTTACCGAGAAGTAGATGAAGATCCCTTTCTTGGTGAGAAAGTTCTTGAACATTTTCTCACACTTGAAAGGAAGCACGTCTTCTCGCATTTAATATCTCAAACACGTGTTTCTCCGTGATTCAGCAAATATTTTCTCCGGTTTTCGAGGTAAGCATGACCATGATTTTTGCCTTCTATAACTTCTCTGCTACTCATCATTTTTAATTCTTAACTTTCGCTACTTTCATAAATCTTTCTCCTTCTGTGCATTTGCTTGGAACATCTTCATAACCTTCAACTTTTCTCAGCAAGAACTTTTCTTTAACCCTTTTCCACCATGGCTTCTTACACCACCTCCTTTGGAAACACAGGTTTTCTCTTCGGTCGAGGCCCGAAGAAAAACAAAGCCGAGGAGGTTAATGTTGAGTTTGATCCTCCAACTATTTACACCATCATAAATACTGCAAACGGTCTTCAAGAAAAAACGTATTCGCACTTGACGTTTAGGTAAAAATTATATTACTCTGATGTAATAACAGTGCGTAAAATCACATGGTACCATTGGGTTGACGTAAACATTAGGAAGTGACATATTCCACAACTCTATTTCTACATTATTTTCTGTACCAGTTTTCAAATATTGCCAAGTAAACTATTGCATATTATTTGATCACCTTGAAGTTCTTTCTTATGTTAATTTGAAAATTGAGCAAACGAAAATTAATTTAAAGAACTAATAGAGAAGTCAAGAAAGGATAATGAGAAGTAGATTGATCAATTCATAAGCACGTTTAACAAACTTTTGCTTCAAAACAATATACTAATAGTCATAAGTCTTGCACTGGTTATGACTTCCTCGTACCTAGTAAATCCTATAAATGGGGTCTAGGAGGGTACTGAGTACGCAACCTTACTCCTATCTCGAGGGAGGATAGATGTTGTTTCCGAAAGACGATCAGCTCAAGAAGAACGTAGCGGTTAAAAACCTAAGAGAATAATAGAAAAAAGAAGAGAGAGAAACTATTTTTATTTTATGATTGTACACTTAATATGCGTATGCATTAAAATAGCCTGGTAGTTAATAATCTCAAGCCCCCTTCTTTTTTTGTTTTTCACCCGAAGTTCGGTACCCGGATTGCTGGATTACATCCCAACTAAATTCGAATTTACGCCGAGAAGAGTCTTACGTTGATGGTAAAGTGCTCCCTAACACCCTTTGATATGTTGAACTTGCTGAAAATGCTTCTGAGCTGCTATATTGCTAGCATTTGCTGTATCCTCATTGATTTCCCTGTCAGTTAATTGTGTCTCAGTGTCGTGATTTTCATTTATAAAGCTCTCATGACAAAGAAATTGGAAAAGGGTGTTCATAAAACACCCTAAAATTGGAATTCTAGAAAGAATGTTTGCTGTTTGCTGTAGATTCATGGCAATTCACACAATGAAAATTAGTAAAAGAGTTTGAAGAATAGCTAGTGTGTCTTGAATAAGTGAAGAAGTTGAATTAATTTATAGTTGGGATTAATGGTGGAACCAAAAAGTTTGATAGCTTAGTCCAATAATTTACTTGGCACTCAAGTCCTACTTTCTTGTGATTTTCCTGCCTCTTTTTTGTCTTGTGGAGAAAGATAATAGTGGCCACCTTAAATTGACTGACTTTTAAAGTTTAAACTGACGAAGTAGGGCGGACATAAAATATGAAGTTTAAAGTTATTTAGCAATCCCGGATTAATATTTATGGATATTTAATAAATTTTTTAATTTATATATATATATAGGACTTGCGCAAAAATTAATGCACGTATGTTAATCCAACATATTACATGGTAGATACTTCCCCCAGACTAACCTTGTAGGGGTTAATGTGTGGTTCATGGGTGATAGACATATTAGAACTTGACTATGCTTTGGTTCAAACAAAGTTGGGTTAAGTTACTAACTAGCCGATAAGATTATCTGATTACGTGTGTTTGGTATGATAAGAGTCATTTTTAAAAAATTTGGTATGATAAGAGTCATTTTAAAATTTAAAAAAAATATCTTTTTTCATCAATAGAGAAAAATGACAAGAAAATGGAACCTGGGTGTCAAGCAAATTAATGGACTATGCTTTCATGATCCCATGTAAATATGCACCATTTCAACTATAAATGAATTTAGCTTCTTCACATATTCAAGAATCTCATACCATCTTCAAACACTTTTACTAGAGGAGGTATGTATGTTGCACTAGCTATCACGTCTATTCTCGCATTCAAAATATTGGTATTTATTGATCAATCTCCTTCATTTTCTTATCTTAACAACAACATACTCAGTGCGGTACCACAAGTGGCGTATGGGAAGGGTAGTATGGACAAAGATTTTATACCTTATGAATGCAGAGAGACTGTTTCCCATAAAGCCTCGGCTCAAGACCAAATTAACGAAATTTAATCAATTAAAATTTGGTTACATCCCTATGTTCCAATCATTCTCGCGGAACTATTTTCTTTGTCCCATGTTTTGGCTCAAGTATATCGTTAATATATAGATTAGACGAGCAATAAAAATGTGAAGTTAATAAACAATTTTTTTTAAAAACAAGCATAATAGGTAAAAGGAAAGGTGGTTTCAGTCACTTATTTCCTTGTACAAGAAATGGTTGTCGGTTCAGTGAGAACATAAAATAAGCTGATAACTTAAATGAATACATTTCGGAACCAAAAGTTTGCAAGCGATGGACAATACTTTAGGTCCTTACATGATTTCCGGAAAAAACAAAAAGAAGAAATAAAAAAGTTTCTTGCATAGATAAGCAAATATTAAATAATTGATTTCGGAGAGATCAAACTTTCTGTATAAGCAATTCCATCATGAACTCTAAATCATCGAGGCCAGAATCCAAATGGACCTGTGGATGTCCTAAGTGCAGTATATGCAAATGTAATCATACGGTCGCTCCAAGGTATATTTGCTAAAGTCTCAAATAAATATAGTAGCACTTCACCATTCGCAAATCTATATTTCAATTTGGCATATACAATATTGTTGAGTCGTATGGTAAACAATACAGTCCAAGATTCTTTGACACCATAGTTATCCATAACTTAAAAGTGCCCCATCCTTGATGTTTATGAGTGAATAAACGCAAACCAATCCTTTCACTAATGAAAGTCCATAATTAGACAACACATCTTCATTAGTTATGTGCATTTGCTCTAGCAAAGGTATCTGTAGTGAACCTATATTATATTGAAATGGATTATGGGAACCACATACACAAATATAAGAGTTCATCTTCAAATAATTACAAATGCTTAAAACAAGTAACCAAATCTTCCATAGGAAGAAGAAATGAAAAAGGGAGAAGGGAGGGAGGTTCCAGATCTATCCTCTAAGAAACTAAGTAAAATAAAATAAACCAAGTTCATAGCTTTCCCTAATAGAATGTTTCCTATTGTATATATAGGTATATGCTCCATCTAACCTGGGTCCCAAATGTAATTTGCTAAGTTCCCAAATGTGCCCTCAGCCTTAGTCTTTTGGTCATTTTGATTCATAACAATTCCTCCACCCTCAAAAAGAACCTTGTCCTCAAGGTTCGAGTGGATCAATGTGAGTATCTCAGTAGTGCCAAGCTGCAAAACAGTACAACTGAATTTGTCAAGACTGAAACATTTGTCGAGAGTTGTTGCAACAAGAGAAATATCATCATTGTCTTCCTGGTCAATCCAACGGAGGAAATATAGAAATATCCGCCTGACAATGATAACATTCAACAAGGAATCCAAAGCGACATTAGCATTGTGAACTCTCTTTTCACTTGGTTTGTGCGTAACATCAAATGTGCCAATGATAAGTTGATTTGCCTCCTCAATGCTGCTAAAATCTTCCAGAATCTTTACTGGTACATCCAATGGAAATTTAGTCAAGAAACGACATTTGAATTAACAAAGTACATGATGAAATTTCTTGAGCACATCAAACGAAAAGTTAAACTTGAGGGCCTCTCTTAGTTTGTTGTCATCCTGGTGCAGAGAGATATCATATACTAGTTGTAACAATCTTCTAGCTACAAAAACATCTCCAACACTGAAGATGTCCACAGAATCCAGCTTTAAAACCTTAACTCGTCCACATAATTCCTTGATATAATGAAAACAAACTTTACGGCCTTTTATGACAAGAAGTAACATCAGATTTGGACGGCACAACTTAGGAACAACAACGTTATAATGTGAATCTTCTCCTTGTGCCAAAAAGTAATTCTCCTCTTCACTTATCTTAATTATATCAGTATTTTCACATATGCAAGGATAGGATTTCTAGCACCTGATGCCAATAGCTTCAAATTGGCAACAATGGACAAACCACATTAGTATTCTTAGCAGCTTTTGTGGCATGAAGCTGGACTAATTTGTAAGGTTGAGCAACTGTCTTTGTAAATATTATTTTGCCAACTTCAGGCTCTCTAGAGAGAACGATCCATGTAAGAGGCTGGATACCAATGTCTTCAGAAAGCTTGGGGGTGAGGCAAAGGACACTCAAAGACTTCTTTAATCTCCTTATTCTGCGCGTCTGATCCACCAAAATCAGCATATAACACTGAAGGAGGTTTTTCAACCTTCATGATAGACACCACGGCATCGACTTCATCTTGTCGAAGCCCAACAACAGATAGAACCTTTGTATGTATCCAAGTAGCACGAGGTTCCAAATGGACCTTTTCCACAAAGGAAAATATCTCAATGTGACACTCTGGCCTAATAGAATGAGAAATCTGAGATTTGGCCAGCAATTGCCAATTCTTGAAGAGATCAAATTTAACAGCCAGAACTTGAGTGGAATTTTTTCTAAGCGCGGCGAGCGAGTTCCTACCAATTATATCATCGAATACACCTCTCTCGTTGTCCAGCCAACTACTTTTAACATGCATATGTATATCAATCATAATGCTAACAAACAAAGCTAGAGATAACTTACTATACTCGAGTCTTTCTCCAGTGTCTGTGAATTCAGTGTCATTCAAGCCTCTGTTATCTGTAATACAGGTACCAGGTTCCCTGTGTAAATCAGTTTGGAAAGGACTTCCATCTTTGTAGCATATCCGTGCATGCATTTCGGACACCTCAGACCATACACCATCAACGCCAACCAAAAGAGCACCTGTATATTGCTGTCCATTCTCAAAAATCACATTAACCTTGTCGACACAGTCTTCTTCGCTAATCTCCACAGAAGGCTCTCCCCTCTTTTGTCGCTTGCCATTGCCGACTTGAATGTGATATGTTGATAAAGCTAGTACGAGGTCATTTACACTACAACCAATCAAGCTACCAGTATTGCTAACAGCTTCACTTTGCACACTCCAGTCCAGGAACTTCTTTAAATACTCCAAGAAATCATAATTTTTAATGGAACCCAGAGCATTTGAAACTTTTTCAAGTGCTGGTGTGATAGCTTCCAATTGGTCTTTCAGTGAGCCTGAAGTCTTCTCATAAATTCCAGAATAAGGTTTTACTCCAAAGGCTAATAGCAGCCTGGTATATAGAATGTCGAGGGCTACTACACGTACAAGAATCTTAGTACCATGTGTAAGATAATCAAACATTGATGTGATGTCAATCTTGAGGTAAGTAGGTGCAACATTAGCAACAAACTTCCCCAAGTGTGTCGCAACCAACCTTCGCACCATGGGCATATCCTCTTGACGCATTTGACTGTAAGTAGATAGGAGGTCTACCGTCAACATATCTGAGGCATTGGAGTAAGCAATATGAAAGAGTCCACAAGCAGGAACTCCAACTGTGACCCACTCACCAGCTGCCAACCTCTTTACAAGGTAGAACCAACCAATCAATTTACTTTCACTCGTCGGGCATCCAATTAATGGGAGATCCGATTGAAAACTATTATCGAACATTTTGGTGATGTTATGTGAGAGTCCATCATCTGAACCGAGATCAAATGGAAAATTAAGTTAGTGTTTGGCCATAGATTCCCATATTTATTCTGAAAAATCTGATTTGGGTGAAGTTTGGTTTGAAGATGAAAATGTGTTTGGACATATGTTTTGGGTGAAGTTTGGTTTGAAAAAAATATGAAACATGACTTATACCCACAAGTTCTAAAAACTATCACAAATACCCAACAATACCATTATTAATAACATTTATTATATTATCGCAAACCATAGTCGTGAACATAAATAAATTTGATACAAAATTATCATTTTTATAATAAACTACATGATACACTATCAGATGACCAAGAAGATGAAGCAACATCATTACAAAATAATAAATGGTGGGCTCTTTTATAAAATATAAAAGTTTGGGGCAATTTTTAAAAAATATAATAGTGATATTTTGGCCCAGCTAGTTTTGGGATTTAGGATTTGGGACTTGGGATTTGGCCAAAATCTAGGCAAAATCTATGGCCAAACATGTGTTTGCCAAATAAAACCCAAGTTTATTTTTCTAGCCAATATGGTGTTACCAGTTTCAAGGAAACAAGTAAACAATACTGTATTTGCAAACAGACCATTAAGACGAGTGCAACGCTTGGGGTCATGTAGATAGTGAACAATTTCTTTTAGTTCATCTTGTACCTCCGCAACACCCCGAATGTCGCTATAATAGATAGTGAGTTTCTTAAGCTGGAATGAAAAATCACCATATCGGTCAGAGTAATCAATGCTAAGCGCAGCACAAACAACTTCGCAAGACTTGGAGTAGCAGTGTCTATTGGACATTGTATCGAACAGCTGGTGTCCAAGAATTGCAGAATATCCCGGTAATGAATCTGCCATGGGATTTTGTAACACCTCAGAAGGTGCCTTAGAATTGTCCAACAAGAGTGAGTTTTCGACAATCAAATCAGAACGATTGTCGCTGGTACAGTCTATCGCAGCACTATCCATTGTATCTTTCAGAGTGATCTCATCTATTTTTGCATCATATGAAGCCCTTACTTGCCCAGTATCTACCCACTTGCAGTCGTGAAAGCCAAAATCATATGGAAGCGAACTAATAGCTCTATTATTACCATAAAAATGTGCAAATATATCCCTCTTCGGCATATGTCAAACACCTTGCATCCAAACTCCATGTCAAGCTCCTGTCCGCAGGCTTTAAGTGGAAGACTCGATCGCTTAACTGAGAATGATAGAGGTGAAGATTGAAGCTGCGATACGGAAATATAAGCATAGAACACACCGTCGAGAACTATTGTTTTGGGTATTGTATCTCCGACAGCAAAAACAGGAAGTTGTGAATCGAGATGTGATTTCACGATATTGGCCACCTTGGTGTTTGTATCAACTTAGTCTAGTGCAAAGGTGATAGCTGTAGCATCTGAAATTTCTGGAGCATCAACGAATTCCGTGGAGTCTAATTGCATTTCGTGCAGCACTGACTGCATACGGCAAATAGAAGAGATCATATGAGTGTTGTTCTCTTGCATCTCCTTCACTAAATCCCGTATGGTATTGATGGAAGTATAGATCATGGCATGAGAGTCCAAAGGCAAGGAGTACGAGCAACGAGAGCACCAATGTAGTGAACCCATATTATATTGAAATGGATTATGGGAACCACATACACAAATATAAGAGTTCATCTTCAAATAATTACAAATGCTTAAAACAAGTAACCAAATCTTCCATAGGAAGAAGAAATGAAAAAGGGAGAAGGGAGGGAGGTTCCACATCTATCCTCTAAGAAACTAAGTAAAATAAAATAAACCAAGTTCATAGCTTTCCCTAATAGAATATTTCCAATTGTATATATAGGTATATGCTCCATCTAACCGGGATCCCAAATGTAATTTGCTAAGTTTCCAAATGTGCCCACAGCCTTAGTCTTTTGGTCATTTTGATTCATAACAATATCTCTCCGTATACCTCATTTGAAGCAGTAAATAAAACCACATGATAAGTTCTTGATATTGTCTTACCAAGCCAATGAAATGCTCCATGAACAAATACCATAATATCCACATACAGACCGCAATTTTGGCAAGGATATATCACATTTTTCTGTCCCCACCTAGGGCAAATGGCAGTTGGATAGTAACAAATTTTTCTCCAAGAACCACTTTTTAGTGAGAGAATTTCAACAGATGGTTGTCCACCTCCATGCACGTCCAAATTAAGGATCTTGTACCCATCACTCATTGCGTCATATCCCAATCCGAACATAGTACGCAGTCGTGTAAATTCTGAATGGGAAAGAAGTGTCGACTCTCTTGTGGAGGGGTTCACAAAAAAAGTTGTTGATTAAATATACTAACAAATCCGAGAAGAGCCAACCCATTGAAAAAAACAAAATAAGTGGCACTCAACTGGTTTGTAGGTTGAAGGGCAATCGAGTTCTTGTACATACTTTGAAAGACAATTGAGTTCTTGTACATCCGATAAAGGAGAAGAATAGAAGCTAAACTTGATGGTACATTCCATATCAACCCTATCAAGCGATGACTGGCAAACAAGAAGTTTGTGGTTATTCTTGGCATGATTGAGATGCTTCATCTTAAAGTAAGGATCAGAGATTAATGCCTGCCAAGATTTTGAAACACATTTGAGCTGAAGAAGAGACCGCACGGGTAACATGATGAGGATTTCCATAATTATTTGTCTTGGAATTGAATTCCAGTGGCCTAGATAGGACAAGGCAAGTGCTTTAATTAGTAGCTTACATACACACAACAAGAACAAATATTAAAGAAAGAAAGGTACAGAAACTAGCTTAGAATTCAAAACTCGAGAGTGAAATCAGAACTAACCTGATGATCAACAATATCCATCTGCTTTGACGGCTTCACAATTCTCTTCCTTGAAATTAATTAAAAAATAAATAAATAAACGCGTGTGCGCACACTGAAAGAGAGAAACAGATACCTTAGCGAATTCGATTGGGAAGTAGTGATTTCTTCTTCTGCTGCTGCAGTTGGCATCTGAGAAGATTTTCCATTATTGTCATCTTTGGAGTTTCCATATTGAAAATATTAGCCTTTTTTGTCATCTTTGAAGCTTCTCTATTTGCGCTACGACTTTTCTTCTTCTCCTATTGATTTGATTGAAAAGATTCGTCTTTTATGGGATTGGAAATGCTTGCTAAGGTTTCTCTTAAGTAATTTTGCAGACGCTGGATGCTAGTAATGAAAATGCTGCCGGAGAAAGGAAAAACAGCTTAAGATTCTGACCAGAGAGTCCTGAATCTAAAGGCGGGCAAAGGCGGCTGGCTAGCGTTTTAAGAGAATGAGAGTGAAAGGAGAGGCGCAGAAAAAGAAAAGGGCCAAATATAACTCTCTAATTTGACATGTGTTCTATATTTAATTTCCGTTATCCACCAAATTTACTATACCGTTATACTAACCAAATTTATACCTAGGCTGAGGTTTAATCTCTGTCGTCGATCGTTCTGATCAGGCCTAGCCAAACGTCAGCGGAAAAGGGATATTTTCATTAGGGGTGGGCATAATACCGACCGAACCGAAAAAACCGGCCGAACCAAAAATTTTGGTTTATTCGGTTTCGGTTTTTCGGTTTATTCGGTCGGTTTGCGGTTTATTATTTTAAAAATTTCAGAGTTCGGTTCGGTGGTCGGTTTTTATAGTTCGGTTTTCGGTTAAACTGAAAAACCAAAGAACCGATAAAGAAACCAAGTGTTAAAATAGTCAATGTATTTGTACATTAGCCTTGGAACAAAATCACATTATAATATTATTATTTTTACTATCACTAATATAGTTTATTAGCTAATAGTACATGTTGGATATTTTTTGTAGCAATATGTGTACCGTGTATAGGAAATAGACAACATCAAACAGTGTTTCGTCTGCATTGCTGAACGTTCGAATTTCATCATCCAGGATGTACCAAAGCAAAAACATATTTGCTATGTGTTCCAACACAATTGATGACCGCGAGAGCTTATTGGAGTGGTTCTCTTAATAAAAGATTAAGAGATAATGAGTTGGTTCTGGAGCAAATGAACACCCAATGCTTCTCCTATAGTGCTGCCACTGCCACTGCCATTGCCACTGCCACTGCTGCTTCTGTTTTGTCTTAGCTCAGTCAAGGATTATCATAAAGGGAATTATATGAATTTGAACCGAAAATCGAACCGATTAAACCTAACCGAACATGAAAAAACCGAACCGAACCGAAATTATTATGGTTCGGTTTTGGTTATTAAAATCACAAACCGAAAACCGAATTAACCGAACCGAAATTATTATGGTTCGGTTTTGGTTATTAAAATCACAAACCGAAAACCGAATTAACCGAACCGAAATTCTATAAAATCGAACCGAACCGACCGATACCCACCCCTAATTTTCATGACCGAAGATGGTGTTGGGCCAACTTTGGAGTTTGGGCTTCACAAGAATAATATGCATAATATTATAGAAATTTTACCTCTTATACCAAACATTTACACGTTATTTATTATAAATAAATACCTTTTAAAATAATTATTTTTTATAGCTACCTTTTAGGTTTTATAGAAAATTATTTATTTATGGTCACTTCCTACCGATAAGCCTTTAAATACGCTGTGAAATAATTTTCTCTCTCCTACTTTCTATTCTTTCTCTCACAATAACACCCTATTGTGATGACCCAAAATGTCATCTTTAAATTTAATAAGTAATTTTGTGTTCTAAGATCTTGAAAAATACCATTTATCATTCATCGGCTTGCGCGCGCGGTCCGTACAATTTTTTGGAAAGTTTTTATGTAAAAAATGGATTAAAATAGGAAATAGAGCTTTAAAACTCAACTAAGTTGACTTTGGCCAATATTTTGAGCAAACGGACCCGGATCAGTATTTTGAAAATTTCAATAGGTTTGTATCGTGATTTGGGACTTGGGCGTATACCCGAAATCGAATTCCGAGGTCCCTAGCCCGAGTTATAGAATTATGATGAAAAATTAAAAGTTTGAAAGCTTAATAATTTTTAAGAAATTACTGATGTTGGATTTATTGACCTCGAATCCGTATTTTGGTTCTGGAGCTCGGTATAGATCCACTATAATATTTATGACTTGTCTGCCGAATTTGGTGAGAATCGGAGTTGATTTGACGTGATTCGGACGTCCTGTGGTAAAAATATAACTTTTAAAGTTTTCTTGAAAACTTCCTTTGATTTGGTGTCCGATTCGTAGTTCTAGGTGTTATTTTGGCGATTCGATTGCGCGTGCAAGTTCGTATGATGTTTTAGAACTTGTGTGCATGTTTGGTTTGGAGCCCCGAGGGCTCGGGTTTGGGATAGGCTACGGGATGATTTCGGACTTAGGAAATCTGGTTTTCTGCAGACTTGAGGCTTCTGGTGTGTTCTTCTTCGCGCTCGCGAAGGTACTCTCGCGAACGCGAAGAGAAAATTGGGCTGGCACATTTTGTGCTTCGCGTTCGCGAAGGCTTGAGGTCCAAAGCTTCGCCTTCGCGATAGAAGCCTCGCGTTCACGAAGGGAAAGAGACTGGCCAAGAAAATTAGCCTTCGCGTTCGCGAAGGGCATCTCGCGTTCGCGAAGGCCAAGCCAGGCATGCATCGCGTTCGCGAAGAGTAAAATTTGACAACACATAATTGTGCTTCGCGAATGCGAGGCACTGACCGCGTTCGCGAAGGGTAAAAATCCCAGAAACAGAACTTAAGTTCTGGAAATAGGGTTTCGACCCATTTTTAATTCTTTCCCATTTGAGCTCGGGTAAGGCGAATTTTGGGCGATTTTTACGGGAAAACATTGGGTAAGTATTCCTTATCCTATATTGATTATATTTCATGATTTCATACTCATTTATATCATGAATCCGTGAATTTATGGAAGAAAAATTAGATATTTATAAAATCTTTCAAAAAAGGTATAAGATTTGAAGGTCCATTTGGTATCGGAATTGGACAAATTTGGTATGGTTGAACTCGTATTGGAACGGGCGTTCGGATTTCGTGAGTTTTTCCGGGATTTGAGACGTGGGTTCCACTACCGAATATTTTAATAAATTTTGGATTTTTATCCGAAAAATTTATAAATTCATATGGAATTAATTCCTATGATTCGTATTGAATATATCGAATTGTTTGTGAATAGATTTGAAGCTTTCGGAGGCAAATTTTAAAGAAAAAGCTGTGGTTGAATAATTGATTGGAATTCGCAAAGCGAGGTAAGTGTCGTGGTTAACCTTGACTTGAGAGAATATAACCCTAAATTTATTTGTTATGTGAATTGCATGTGAACGACGTATAGGCGAGGTGACGAGTGTCTATACGTCGTCAAATTAATTATTTTTCTGCCTACTTAAAAAATTATTAATTATTTTTAATCATAAATTAATTATTATAATAATTATTTCTCTCTTATTCTTTGTCAAATA